TTTTTTCCTTTGTCGTAGTAGTAGACCAGATATTTGCTAAAATTATTGCAAAGAGACGCAAGGTCAAAAGAAAGGAATACCTGTGATATCTGAGACATCGAGGAATGACATATTATTATGAGGCTCTCGGACGAAACAAAAGTGGTGAACAATACAAAAGTTGCGATCGGAAAAAAACCACGAGAACGTTCCTTTTCAATGACTAATTCGTTCACCTTTTCCCCATTGTAACGAGTTTATCATTTATTTACGAGACTCGAAAGGTCATATCGAAGGCGGTGCATATGGCCCTGAAGGAGGGGTAAAGATGACGAAAGGAGGAACAAAGAGGAAAGATAGCGAAGACACACAAAGTGAATAATATAATCATACATACGCGTGCTCAGAAGCAGTTGTTGTTCAAGTGCATATTTTGTTATTTTATATTGAGAGAAAGTGCACCGCCTGCTATCGTGCGGTTGGTCCATCTGGTAGCCTACCGACACCTTGTATGTATATATATATATATTATGTGTGTGTGTATGTGTGTGTGTACGTGTATATGTATGTGTTTGTTTGTTTATTTGTTTGTATGTGTGTGTGTGTGCATTTGTGTATGTGAACGCACGTGCGCACACAGGCACGACCGCCTGATGATGGTGAGGTATGGGGTATGGGGGGTGGCGGTGGCGTTTGTTACATTCCACTTTTTTTCAACACTGTTCTTTTTACTTGTGTGTGTGTGAGTAGTGAGCTAAATCTGTAAGACATCAAGCCACACTGGTACCCCGTAGACACTTGAACAAAGTAGTTGCTCGTGGAGCCCAAGCACTCACTGTTCATGTTCCTCTCAGTAAATTGTCAATTAAGATCGTTCACGGGTCGGGAAAGGTTCCCCCCTTCAGGCATGATGTGTACACTCGCGGGTTGGGGGCCAGACTAATGTTCATTTTATTATACACATACGGTAGCTTAATGTGCTTACTACTGTACGTACACTGATATTCCCTGTCATGTTTATTTATGTCTGGGATCCGAACCAAATTTGTCCTATCGATAATGGCGAGTTTTTGTGTCACGGAAGATACGTTTGGTTCTTTGCCTCTCTTAGGCCATGGTGGGAATATCAGAACGATCCTTCTTGTGAGGTGTACATTGGATATCTGAAGGGTACA